TGTGTGTGTGTGTGTGTGTGTGTGTGTGTGTGTGTGTGTGTGTGTGTATTTGTTTGAGATAGGATCTCACCATGTAGCCCTGGTAGGCCTGCAGCTCACAATGTAGTTCAAGCTGACCTCAGAGATCTACCTATACTTGTACCTGTCTCTGCCTTCTAAGTGCTGTGAGGACTTCAGAGGGCATTGTTTACCTATGTTAGGACCTTTCAAGCACTTCTCACCACACACCAGTATAAGAGTTTAATGATGCAAGTCATATGTTTAGAGAGGCAAGAAAGGTCTACTATCTTGATTGGGAGAAAGGCTCTTCTGTTTCTTTTGTATGTTTTTAGCTGCAGGTTACTCATAATTGGATGGCTGTTGTTTTAAGTGGTCTTACTGCTCACACAATATGTTGATGACACATCAGGAAACTCAAGACTTTTTAGAGTATTGTGTCTGTGTTTTGGATAGCTGATTTAGTGCTTCCTGTCAGGTGCTTGGTGGCTGTCCCAGGTGGAGGCATTGACTGGTGAATAGTCAGGTGGTGGGCCCACTTCTCGGTTCCAGCTACACTTTTCTTCTTTGATGTTTTAAATCTGTAAATGATTTTTGTGCCCTAGATGAGGAAGTGGAGGACATGTACCTTGTGGATTTCACACAGAAGATCATAGACAAGAGGAAAGAAATGGAGGTGCACAGTGCTTCGAGAGATTCCCGAAATGCAGAAGAGAGAGATGATGATGAAGAGTTTTCTGAAAAAGACATACCCCCTCCCCAAGACCCCAGTGAGGAATGGTGGGTAATATTGGGGATAAGATCAGAGTGATCACCTCAGACTCACACTGACTTTTTGAGAATTGTTTTACTTGATGGTTGTCACACCATTTGTTTCTTATTCTGTCTGTGTTTCCTGTCTTCTAAGAACCACCCTTCTAAGTTAGGATGAACTAGTGTAAAGGATTGCATAGAAATGGGTGCAAGAGGTGACGTCAGTGACTGCAGATGAGAACTGAGCATCTGCTGTGCCCAGTGTGGTGCTTGGCTCAGGGATCCTTGGGCAGTCAGTCAATGTCCTGCTCTCTTACTACCATGCTACTGCATTACCTGTGTTCTGGTTTAGATATCAGGACCTGGGAAGTGGTCCCTTTTAAGTCCTGCAGAAAGAAACTGGAAGGGCAGGCAAAGTAAGCTGTATTCTAGCTGCAATGTTTTCTAGTTTTGAGGTATGGGTTCCAGTACTGTCTTCTACCCAACCCATGTGGCCTTGATATACAGTCTCTCTAAGGCCTATTTTCCTTCCATGGAAAGTAGAGATGCAGTGCTTCAGTGCCATGACCATTTCCCTTAAATTCACTCCCAGAAGCAAGTTGTTCCATTCTGGGAGCATAGTAGATACTTTGCACAGCTCTATTTTTGACATTTTTCCAGGTTTTATGTGTGTGTACATCAAGGATGGAGGAACCCAGCCTTATACAGATCAGAGTGCAAATTCCATTACAGTGCCTTTTATGTCACTTAGAGACAGACACAAGTTCTGTCATTTAGCAGAACTTGTCATTGCTTAGATGTCACTGATGTTCTGATCACATACTGTGGCTGGTTGTCTCTCAAGCTCTCGTTCTGGGAGATTTCTTGGGAACTGTTCAGGACTGTTTGTGGTGTTTCTAGTCTTTTGCTAGCCCCATTTGGACAGGTATTTATGCATATATAGAGAAATCCCTGCTGCTGTGGATGTCAGAACCTTCCTCTTCATATTGCTGAAGGTGTCCACTGTGGGCCATGCTTTTTTAACTTTTAAATAGCTGACATTTCACATTGCTGTTGTGGGGTTAGCATGTGTCTGTATGCAACATGGAATCACAGAGAATGCAGCTTCTCTGTGCCTTTCCTCGTCATTTCTAGTCTTAAATGCTTCCTCATCTGAACTAAGGGGGAGGGTGATTCTTACCTTTTATTTATAGTTGACCACTCCAGGCCTTATTACCAGCAAAACATTTGAGGCAAACCTTTGCTTGTTTTTATAATCTGCCTGAATTACATTTTCTGTCATGCACCCCTCCTACTTCCCTAGAGCCCTGTAGAGATAGGGTACTGAATCCTCCTTGAATCACCCAGTTTCTCCAAGTTTGTGCTGCCTGGGACTGCTCAGTAAGCAGTTGCTGATGAGCTAGAGCCATTGCTGACTACTGTATTCCTTTGCTGGTGTTGTGTGTTGGGGGGCCTTGCTCCAAAACAGAATAGCTGTGATTGCTTTTCAAGGCAGAAATCTCATCGCCTTTGAATGGTCTGATGTCTTTAAAAATTTTTTTTCTTATTAATGCCTTTATGATTACGAGCAATTTGCCAGTGATTTGAGAAATTTGGAGGGCAATTGAAGGTGTCGCATGCCACCATATGATGCAGTAAGACGCATTGCAAGCAGTTCCTACACTTTTTTTTTGAATGAGGCTCCAGAATTGTGACTGCTTGTGAATCCTTTTGGTAATTAAATTCCAGGTGGTGAAAAATCTTTTTGCAAAAATACTGTAAATAATTACATGGGCCATCTGGATGGTTCTCTCCTCCATTCATTAAAAAAAAAGAGAAAGAAAAAAGAAAATGAAGACGTGTGTTTAGTCGTAGGTTTGATTTCTTAAAACAATCAGCTGTAGGACTGTATGAGTGGCTTCCCAAGCGTTTGATTATAAAGCATAGGATAACAAGGAAATCAGCATCACTTGAGAAGAAAGAAATTGCAGGCCAGCTGTATCTGATCTTGAATTGCTTTGCTTACTTGTAGCACAGATTGTTAAGGACTATGGGAGATTCCTGTCTGTGATAACAAATATGAAAAATGTTATACCATAGTGCAAAGGAAATGTTTTCTGTGAAAGCCTGCCCTAGCAACTTTGGTTGCTAGGAAGTCTCGGTGTTTTGTTTAACCTTACTGTGCGTCTGGCTTGCCCTGTCTTTACTGTCTGCTTTGGGGAAAGATTAAGAAAGGAGTATATTGTTTGTGTTCCTCCTAATTAAAGTGGGCCCAAAAACATACCATGACTTACATTAAGAAACTCCTAAGCCCACTGGAAAGAATTTGTCAATTAGAAGTGTATTAGTAATAGAAAGTGAGACTTGAGTACACTGTGGGGAAGGAGCAATGAAAATCTGTGCTACATAGCCTAGTGGCCAAAATGCAGAGTCAACATAAGAGTTGTCTCCACTATTTCAAGTGAGTTCTTTCATGCCTCAATTTCTGTATTGGCAATTTGTCTTTGAAATCAGAAACATAAATGATCAATTTCTTCCTACAGTTCCTAAAACTGAGATTTAGTAGAGGGCACAAAAAGCTTATTGGGTGTCAGCTGCTAATTGAGAAGCATTTTCTCAGTGATAGTGGTTCCTTAGCTTCAAGGTTCTTGGTAACAAGGTCTGTAATGACATGGCTTCTTTAAGTTCCAACTTCCTGACATAAGGATCTGCCCATTGTACAAACTGTCTTCCAAACTTCTTGTTTTCAGGGTAGATTACGTAGACTCTTTGGGCCGATCCCGGCGCTGCATGAGAAAGGATTTACCAGATCTATTGGAGATGGATAAAAATCTTCAGGGGAGACTGTAAGTTTAATATGTGGCCTTTGTCTGGAACACAGTCACAAGAATTGTCTTGTGGGAGAGGCTGCTGAATGACTGTTGCTGTAGTAAGACTTTTATTGTGTAAGAATATACACTGAAGCCTGTAGCAGTTCACATGTGCAGACACTCATAACCTTCTGTGCTCAAGAAACAACCTGAATGTCATTATCCCTTATTTAATGATTTTCTTTTTCTGAAACCTATTTTTTTTTTGGGGGGGGGGGTAATAGAGGGAATTAGTCATGTTATTCCCTGACTCAGCTTTCACAGGCAGGCATTCTGTCCTGGTCATGCATTGTAACTGCTAAAAGGGATGAGTAGACTGTTGACTTGGAAGAATGTCTGATCTAGGTTGCAAATACAGAAGGCCCAAATACAACTACAGCTAGCCCAAACCTAGCTAACAAAACAGACTTTGCAGACAGAGGGTTTGAGAAGGTTCACTGGTTTTATTCTTTCTTATTTATGTGTCTTTGTGTATTGAAGCAAAGGACCCATGACTATATTTCTAGTGGAACCAAAGAAATAAATGTTTAAAAGTGTCTTGGTGATTAAAAGTCCATGTAATCAGCCTTATATGAAAAGTATTAGAGACGTTCCACCTCCAGGGCTTAGGCCTGCTGTGGGTAGGCCTAGAGTAAGCACACAGAGGCCACAATGCAAACCATCTGCTGGGACAGGAGGCACTGTAACACCTCCATGTCTCCAGACAAGAGGCCATTCAGAGAAGTCCAATGGTTCATCCTTTCTGGCTAGTACACCTTCCATATGTCAAACAGGAAAAGGGTAGAAAGGAAAGTCACTTTTCTTGAACACTGAGGCAAGATCCCATCTTGTGTAAGTCTGAGAATTGATTTAAAGATGATAAAATAGGGTCACCAAGATGGCTTATCAGATTAAAGTACTTGCTGCTAAGCCTAATGACCACATGGTAAAAAGAGAAAATAGACTCCTGAAAGTTGAAAGCAGTCCCCTGACCTCTACATGCATGCTGTGGCATATGTACATGGCTCCTCATGTGTATATATACACATAATATAAATGAATGTAAAAATATATTAAAACAGTTGTATTGACTTCTCAGCCAGAAGCCTCTAAAGGAGCTGTTATCTTTCCAAATAATGTTACTTAGCCATGATCAACCCATTGCACTAAGTGTTGCTTTCTCATGACACTTACATGAACATAGGTTTTCTGTTCCTTTACTAGTTTTGTTAGTCCTGCCAATGAAAAAACTTTGTTATCTGAAGACATGAAGAAAGAACTTCAGCGCCAGCAATGGGAGGAAGAAGAAAGGGAGGCCCTGAAAAAGCCAATGGGACCCATCCATTATGAAGACATTCGGGAAAATGGTATTGTTGGTTTTTGGGTTTTTTTTTTCCTCCCACTTTTTAAAATCTTTTTTTTTTTTTATTTAAAATTTTTTCTTTACAATTTATTCATTATATATCCCAATTGAAGCTCCCTCCCTCAACTCGTTCCCCCTTCCCCCTCCCTCCCAATTCTCCCCTATCTCCTTCCCCTAGTCCACTGAAAGGGGGAATTCTCCACCATTGCCATCTGCCCATGGCTTGTTAAGTCTCATCAGGACTGCCTGGATCCTCTTCCTCTGTGGCCTGGGAAGGCCACATCACCAGGGGTGAGTGATCAAAGAGCAGGCAACCGAGTTCATGATAGAGGCAGCCCCTGCTCCCTTCACTCGGAGATCCACATGGATCTCCACATCTGAGCAGGAGGTCTATGTCCTCTAGGTCCTCTCCATGCATTCAGAAAAAATGGTAGTGTTGTTGTTTTTTTCCACCTTTTAAAATTAAAAAAAAAAAAAAATCTCTAGCCAATGGCAAGCACAAAGCCAGGTGCTGACTTTTTGTCCAACGCCTAAGAAACTTGGAGACCTCTTCCTAACAGGTCTATTAGTCTAAGAACTTGTTCCCAGAAAGGAGACAGCCAGGGCTGAGTAGCCTGGCTGTGTGTTTGTCACTTAGTAAACAGTAAAGCAGTTTAACTTATTTTTGCTTATCTATTTTTTTTTTTTTAAATTAAACTTGTGAAAATATTACTGTGTGTCTCTTTTCGTTTTAGGGAATTTGTTGTACATGTGATTTCCTAATTAGAGAAATCTAATTTTTGATACTTGTATTTGTTTCAGAGGCCCGGCAACTTGGTGTTGGGTATTTTGCTTTTGCCCGAGACAAAGAGTTGAGAAACAAGCAAATGAAAACTTTAGAGATGCTTCGTGAACAGGTGCAAATTAAATTTAAAGTTGTTGTTATTGACTGGCCATGCTTTAAAAAATTAAATCCAGAGACTTATAGCTGAGCATTGTGGAGAGAGAGTCCAAATTGGAGCTCTTCATTGAGTCCCTGCCCTTGGAGCTCAGGAGCTTTGCAGAAAAGGGAGGAAGAATAGAAGCCAGAGGGGTTGAGGACTCCAGCAGTACACAGCCCACGGAATCAACTATGCAGGGCTCATTGGGGCTCACAGAGATTGAAGCAGCAATCACAGAGCCTGTGTGGGTCTGTACTAGGTCCTCTGCATATATATTATAGTTATTAGCTTGGTAGGATTCCTAACATTGGAAATCGGTTATCTGTGATTTTTTTCCTGCTCTTGGGACCATTTTCCTCCTAGTAGGTTGCCCCACCCAGCCCTGATATGAGGATTTGTACCTAGTCTTATTGCATCTTGTTATGCTATGTTTGGTTCTTATCCATGGGAGGTCTGCTCTTTTCTGAAGGGGAATGGAGGAATAGATCTGCAGAAGAGGGGAGATGTGGGGCAGGGATAGGAGGAGCAAACAGAAAGGAAGGATTTATTGACTGAGAGAAGAATTAAAAAAATGTAGTAAGTAAAATGAAAATTGATATTGAGAATGCAGTTATTGGTTAAACAAAGATAATTATCAGTTTATTATGGGTTTTCAAACTCTAAAATTACAACTATTTTGGAAGTAGTCTGTGCTTTGCTATATTTTCTTTTTATTAATAGTATGATGTGTGGGCATGTATGGTGGTTAGAGGACAACTTTATGGGGTTGATCTCTCCTTCTATCCCTGTGTTGATTGCAGGATTGAACTCAGGTTGCCAGATTTATACCACTGTGGCAAGCATCTTTACTCACTGAGCCAGCTCAGCTGTGCTGTTTTATCATTACTATTATTATTTTTCTGCCTGCATCTCTGTCTGTGTATTGTATACATGTGTGGTTCTACAGAGGCCAGGGAGGAAATTGGATCCCTTGGAACTGTAATTATTTATGGTTTTCAGTCACCATGTGGGTGTTAGCAACTGGATCTGGGTCCTCTGCAAGAGCAGCAAGTCTTCTTTTTTTTTTTTTTTTTTGTTTATTTACTTATTTATTACAGTTTATTCACTTTGTATCCCGGCCATAGCCCTCTCCCTCATCCCCTCCCAATCCCACCCTCCCTCTTTTCCTATGCCCCTTCCCCAGTCCAGTGATAGGGGAGATCCTCCTCCCCTTCCATCTGACCCTAGTCTATCAGGTATCATCAGGACTGGCTTTGTCTTCCTCTGTGGCCTGGTAAGGCTGCCCCCTCCCACCTCAGGGGAAGGTGATCAAAGAGCCAGCCACTGAGTTCATGTCAGAGACAGTCCCTGTTCCCATTGCTAGGGAACCCTCTTGGACACTGAGCTGCCATGGGCTACATCTGTGTAGGGGTTCTAGGTTATCTCCATGCATAGTCCTTGTATGAAATCTCAGTCTCAGAAAAGACCTCTGTGCCCAGATTTTTTGGTTTTGTTGTTCTCCTTGTGGAGCTCCTGTCCAGGTCTTTCTATCTCCCCCTTCTTTCATAAGATTCCCTGCAGTCTGTCCAAAGTTTGGCTATGAGTCTCAGCATCTGCTTTGATACCCTGCAGGGTAGAGTCTTTCAGAGGCCCTCTGTGGTAGGCTCCTGTCCTGTTCCCTGTTTTCTCCGTCTTCCAATGTCTCCCATTTGCCTTTCTGAATGAAGAATGAGCATCTTACCCAGGGTCCTCCTTCTTGCTTAGCTTCTTTAGGTGATTTTAGTATGTTTATCCTATATTATATGTCTAATATCCACTTATAAGTGAGTATATACCATGTGTGTCTTTCTGCTTCTGGGATACCTCAGTCAGGATGATCTTCTCTAGTTCCCACCATTTGCTTGCAAATTTCATGACTTCCTTGTTTTTAATCGCTGAGTAGTATTCCACTGTGTAAATGTACTACAATTTCTGTATCCATTCCTCAACTGAGGGACATCTGGGTTGTTTCCAGGTTCTGGATATTACAAATAAAGCTGCTATGGACATGGTTGAGTAAATGTCCTTGTTGTATACTTGAGCATCTTTGGATATATACCCAGGAGTGGTATAGCTGGGTCTTGAGGTAGCATTATTCCTAATTCTCTGAGAAAGCGCTAGATTGATTTCCAAAGTGATTGTACAAGTTTACATTCCCACCAGCAATGGAGGAGGGTTCCCCTTTCTCCACATCCTCTCCAGCATGTGTTATCACTTGAGTTTTTTATCTTAGCCATTGTGATTGGTGTAAGATGAACTCTCAGGGTCGTTTTGATTTGCATTTCCCTGATAACTAAGGACTCTGACATTTCTTTAAGTGTTTCTCAGCCATTCGATGTTCCTCTATTGAGAATTCTTTGTTTAGCTCTGTACCCCATTTTTTAATTGGATTACTTGATTTGCTGCTGTTTAACTTCTTAAGTTCTTTATATATTCTGGATATTAGCCCTCTGTCAGATACAGGGTTGGTAAAGATCCTTTCCCAATCTGTAGGTTGTCATTTTGTTCTGACGACAGTGTCCTTTGCTTTACAGAAGCTTTTCAGTTTCATGAGGTCCCATTTATTGATTGTTGATCTTAGAGCTTGTGCTGTTGGTGTTCTGTTCAGGAAGTTGTCTCCTATGCCAACGAGTTCAAGGCTCTTCCCCACTTTTTCTTCTAACAGGTTTAGTGTGTCTGGTTTTATATTGAGGTCTTTGATTCACTTGGACTTTAGTTTTGTGCAGGGTGATAAGTATGGATCTATTTGCATTTTTTTACATGTAGATATCCAGTTAGACCAGCACCATTTGTTGAAGAGCAGCAAGTATTCTTAACCACTAATCCATCTCTTTAGCCCCCAGTCCTACTGTTTTAAATCTAGTTTCAAACATGGCATTTTTGGATAACCTGGGTGAGGAAATAGGAAGTTGTTTTAAGGGATCAAAGGAGTAGAAGAAAACTGGATGGCTTTCTTCAATGTGGAAGTTTCCATCTTAAAGTTGTGACATTCTGCTTCATTTTCAGGGTCTTTAGGAGACCATGCTTAGAGGTGCTATGAAAATTAGCACTTTTTTTTTTTTTTAAGACAGGGTTTCTTCATGTATCTCTGGCTGTCCTGAAACTCCCTCTGTAAACCAAATTTACAGAGATCTACCTGCCTCTGCTGCCTCAGTGCTGGATTAAAGGTGTGCACCACCACCACTTGGCTTAATTAACACTTTAAAAAAACAAAACAAAACAATTATTTCATCTTTTTAGACAGAAATGTGAATTTGACGTGAGGCAAATAATTTTCTAACTTTTTGTTCTGTCCAGACAACAGATCAGAGAATAAAACGAGAAAACATAAAGGAAAAGCGAAAGGCTATGTTAGAAGCAAGACTTGCCAAACTTCGACACAAAAGGATTAAAAAATCAAAGGACGGGACTGAAGAAGAAACTAGAGGTATATCACAGCTCATATTTCTGACTTCAAAATGGAAATCTTAGGTCTATATTGGTGGCTCACTTCATGTGCTTTTGAAGTCTTACCAGGAGCAATTTTTATTATTACTCTTAGATCTTTCTCTCTTTGTTTCTTTCTTTCTTTGTTTCTTTCTTTCTTTCTTTCTTTCTTTCTTTCTTTCTTTCTTTCTATCTATCTATCTATCTATCTATCTGTCATTCTATCATTGTATGTGGTGTATGAGTAAGTATGGGTGTGCATGTGCACAGGTGTGGAGGTCAGAGGACAATTTTCAAGGGTTTAGCTTTTGCTTTCTCTGTGAGATCCTGGTTCAGATTCAGATCATCAAGTTTGTTCAGCAGGCACTCTTACCCATTGAGCCATCTCACAGTCCAGGAACAGTTTTTATAGAGTGTTTCAGAATGACACTCTCATGTTTTTAGGCAATAGACAAGGATATTAACAAGTAATACATTGAGTTACTTCTTAAAATGACAGTTTAGTAAACCAGCTTAAAAGTTTAGTTGTATACATAAATAAGATAAAAGTTTTTAAATTTTAATTTAAAAAATATATAAAAAACATAGAAACTACATATTTGCAGGATGCCATATACTGTTTTGGTAACTGTTTATATTATGTGATCTAAATCAAGAGAAACATCTGTCTCATGCATTTATCTTTTTTATGTATATGTACATTGGTGTTTTTAATTTTGACTGCACATATTTCTGTATGAGGGTGTCAGATCTCTTGAAACAGGAGTTACAGACAACTGTGTGCTGCCAAGTGGATGCTGGGAATTGAACCTGGGTCCTCTGGAAGAGTGGCCAGTGCTCTTAACCTCTAAACCATCCCTCCAGCCCCTGCATTTATCATCTTTATGTTAAAAATACTTAAGAATCCTTTTCTCTAATCTTTTTAACTTAGGCGCTTTTAAATTTTTTATCTAATTTCGTATGTATGGGTGTTTTGCCTGCATGCATGTTTTCATACCACGTTGGTGCCTGGTGCCTTCAGAGACCAGAAGTGGACATCAGATCCCTAGGAACAAGAGTTATAAAAGGTTGTTAACCACCATGAAGGTTCTGGGGATTAATCCCTGAATCCTCTGGAAGAGCAACCAGTGCTCTTAACTGCTGAGATATGAGTTCAACTTTTTTGGCTTATAGTTTTTTTTGGTTTGGGGTTTTTTTTGTTTTGTTTTGTTTGTTTTCTGTGTGTTAATGTATTCTCTTTGTAAAATATACCTAACAAGTTGGGTATTAAGGTAAAGCAGCTGGAGACAGGAATTTAAACCAAAGAACCATGCTCTAGAAACTAGAGGTGGAACACACTTTGCCTGGGAGAGAATGTGAAATGCTGGGATCAGACAGGCTTACTGTGAGTTAAGGGTAGAAGCCAAATTGCTAACTTTAGCCCTTCCCTAAATGGCTCCAATGTACAAGCCTGTTTGTCTGTTTTATCATTGAAAAGTGCGAGAGTATCTAGGTCATCCGGTCCCAGGCTTCCTCTCATGTTGCTGTTTCTACTGCTTTCTAGAGTGTTGCTCTCCTCTGCATACTGTAAGTTTGCTCCCTGACACCCCGTTCCTGATCCAGTACAGGACCAGATCAGGGAAGCAGGGAAGAGAGGGGAGAAGCCAGCTGTCTCTTTCAGAGTGTGAGTGGAAAGTCACAGCCTATGTGTTTGCATCCCACTGGCCTAGAGCTTGGCCCACAGTCTGTATTAGCAGCAGAGGAAGCTGGAAGTGGCCTTTTCTGCAAGTGAGATTGAAATTTGGGGACCTTCTATTAGCAACAAGAGAAAAGTATGGATGTTTAGGGCTGTTTAGAATCTTCTGCTCCTTTTCCAGCCTCTGAGCAAAGCCTCATGTAGCCCTGACAAGACACCAGAAAAGCTTAGGGATTGAAAATCCTGTGTTTAGTTTCAGATAAAGGCTGTCTCTTGTTGAGTTCTGCATAGTGTTTGTTTTTGTTCTGCCTCCTGAACATCTGTCCTAGAAAATGTGAACTATGTCCCCACATTTTATTTGAAAATCAATTTTCATTAAGATTTTTAAAAATATGGCCAAAAAAACCCAGCAAAATAAAACCACAACAGCTGGTTCCACCTCTCCAGCACCATACTCAGGCTGCTAGTCTTGCTATTTTAGTTGGATAATTTGAGGATTTGGGTCTTTCAGTTGCTCCTTGGGAGCACAGGGATTGACATCCATTCAGCTTTAACTTGTTTCGAATTTTCTTGAAACTTTATACATGTTACCATTGCTGAGCTGAGTTTTTCTTGTTAATAAGATGATATGATAAAATTGTTAGAGTCATTTAAACACTTCGGGAATCTGTTGTATAGAAAGTACTGAGGGGTTGGCAAGGTAGTTAGGAGGTTCTTGCTGCTCAAGAATGCAAACCTGATGATCTGAATTCGATCCTAGGAACACACGTAAAGGTGTGACCAACTGTACAAAGTTGTCCTCTAATCTCTACATGTGCTCTGGCATTCACACCCACTTACAGAGAGAAATAAATGTTATCAAACTACTTCACTACTGTCTGAGACAGACACTTGCTGCTCCCATTAGCACTATTAATTAATTTTGAAGTAAATTACTTCAAATTAGTATGTTAAATTTTTAAGCCATAGTAATAAGGTTTTATTTCCTTATAAAAGCAGATGGAGATGTTACTGAGCCATCAGAACCAAAGGCTGTGCCTGCTCCACCTCCTGTGGCCCAGAATAGCAAGGTAGAAGTCATCATCCAGGAGAGGAAGGATACCAAGCCTGGAGTGCCACACATCCGAGAGTGGGACCGAGGAAAAGGTAGGGAGGGGCTTGGAGGTGTGAAAACTTCTTAGTGGGGCTCTTGTGAAGGGTGATTTTTTTAAAAATATATTTATTTATTATGTATACAAATCTGCATGTATGTCTTTACATCAGAAGAAGGCACCAGATCTCATTAGAGATGGTTGTGAGCCACCATGTGGTTGCTGGAAGTGAACTCAGGACCTCTGGAAAAGCAGAAAGTGCTCTTAACCTCTGAGCCATCTCTCCAGCCTGATTTTTGTTTTGAGTCAAAGTGTGATTCTGGTGAGATTTTATTTTTTTATGGTGCAGAGATGGAATCCAGAGCCTTACACATGCTAGGCAAGAGCTCTATCACTGAGCTCCACATTCAGCCTCACAGTGAGTCTTGATGGTCCTAAATCTTAAGGAAATCTCAGTCTTTGAAAATTGTTTTTTCTCCCTACTGGACACTAGTTGTTTATAAACAGGGAAATGGGAAAATATGATCAGCATCTACAAAGGTGTCCTGTCCACAGAATAATTTTCTAAAAAACACCTAGGAAGCTTAAATTATACTTTTAGGTGGGGTTTTATAGCTTAGAATGTCAGTTTTTAGGAACTACTTTCAAAGTATGATGGAGGCTTGGTGTTTTGAGGTATTCTGTTGTTAGCAATCTTTTATGTTTGGTTAAAAGTTTACCTAAGCTTCCATTGTATATGCACATCTTTCTCTAATTTGTCACCAAGTGCTCACCACAATCTTTGCCACAGCAGACTGTTTTATGCCTCTTTCAAAAATACTTCAGTGGAACATTAATTCCTGCTGTTGGAGTTGACGAGAGAAATATAAAGAGCCACTGTTTATATTAGATAAACCCCTTCTGTGTCCTCCAGAACTCAACAAATGATAAGCTGCTTTGATGTGAAACACCTAACCATGTCAACTTCAGCAAATAATTGACCGTTTCATTTCTCTGTAATTGCAGTGCCCTTTTGGTAGTATGGTCCAGGGCCTGTCAGCCTCTCCACAGGGCCTTCCTCTAATCTTTCCTTTTCATAAGGCCATTCCATTTCTAAGCTAGGTTCTTGTTCTTTTCCTTGTTCTTAGAAAATCTGTGGTAGCTTTTAAAATGCATATATAAAGTGAAAAATAATTATAATAAATTTGACTGGTTCATAATTGTTTCTAATAATACTCTTTCTTATATTCATTAGAATTTTCCTTTGGATACTGGTCGAAGAAGCAGTCAGAACTCCGGGCTGAGCGTGATCCTGAGTTTGCCCCACCTTCAAATTACTTTGTGGGTCAAAAGAGAACTGGTCCTTTCGGTAGCCAGCCATGGAGCAGACCAAGCGACTTGGGGCATTGCTCTGGACAGAGCCAGGAACCCGGCTCTTCACACACATCCACTCCTGCCTCTGAAAGCTTACCACAAGCACCCACAGTCACTTTCCAAACACTAGATGATATGATATCTTATTATAAACAAGTCACATGACCTTAAAAAGTATGTTGGTTGCATTTGTGTCATAGAATTCAGGACCGAACTGAGTTTTACTTCTTTCTTCCTGTCCTTTCCCTAGGATGCACAGGCTTGAAGCCAGATTAGTTGACAGGGAGGAGGAGTAAGTGTACTGATTGGAGCTCATTGACTATGTGGCTGTTCACTTTTTTTGTTGCTTGGTATAAAGGGAATATCTCCTCCCTTCCATGCTGACCCACTTGTAACTCATTTGGATATCCAGGTCTGTGAACTGTAAATACTAAGCTGTGAAATTTGATACTGAGGAACTTGTTTCTTTAGATTATTTTATGTATGTGAGCATTTTGCCTTCTTGTATATGTGTACCACATGTGTGCTTGGTGCCCAAGGAGGTCAGAAAGAGCGTTGAATTCCTTGGAACTGGAGTTATGGATAAATGTGAGCCCCTATGTGGGTGCTGGGAACTGAACCTTGGTCTTCCACAAGAGCAGCCAGTTCTCTTAACTACTAATCCATCTCTACATACTCTGCTGAGGAGCTTGTAACCCTGCTTCACAAGCACACCCATTAATGACTTTGCTTTCATGGCTCCATTCTCTTCCCTTCAGAAGTGCTAGCATGCAGGTGTCTACTCTACAGATTTAACTTCTGAGACAGGTGATGGAGCAAAGTCAGGAGGAGTTTTTACCTGCTCAGGAAGCAAATGAGTGCCTGTTATAGGAGGAAAAGGGGAGCTGGTGGAATACTGAGTAAGCAGTCACATCTGAAGCCATAAGGTCAGGGAAGAGCACCTGCAGTTCAGAGGTAGAAGCTGATTGTTGATCTTTGTTGTGTCATCATGTTATCCGGTTACCTATATCTCTGTCTTCTGTGGACATCTGGAGTTGTGCAGAATCACTTGGGCATTCCCAAAGGCTGCTGAGCCTGGTTAGAAACCAGTGCTCCTTAGTTTTACCAGCTGGAGCTTTGATCTTGTCTTGCCCTCCTGCCTCTGTGCCTCCTGGGGCTTTGCATTGCTTGAGGCTTCTTGACTCACTGGAGCCTGAGTGGGTCAGACTTGGATTCCGTGTACAGAGCAGGTAGGTCACTGCCTATATCCTTATTGAACAGGGAAGACCTGCCTATTTGGGGCCTCCTTTATAATACTGCGTTATGAGTAGAAATGCCCATTTTCTTAAGATGACCTATTGGAATGTAGAGCAGTCAATACCTAGCTCAAGCTCATGTGGCATCTAAGTTTCAGGTTCAGGACTTAACATATTTAATCTCCAGAGTCATGCTTTTTCTAGTAACCTCTGCTGCCAGTCTTCTTGCCTCCCTATCAAGAAAGTTTAGACAAATCCCATTCTTACAAAGTTACCTCTGAGCTCCACAACAAAGGCAAAAGCAGTCATCCAGTCAGTCTCATCAGGGAAATAAAATACCTCTTTTAATATACATCAAAACTCAACTAACTAGCTGCCTTTCATTTTTTTTCCAGAAATAACAAACATATCCTAAAATTCATATGGAAATGCCAGGGACCTAGACTACCCAAAGAAAAGTTGGAGGACCAAACTTCTTGATTCAAGACTTACTGCAAAGCTACCACAGTACAAATGGTGTGGTACTGGCACAGGAACAGACACATAGGTCTGTAGGGTAGAGTGGAGCTAGGCATTTGTGAGCAGTTGACTTCTAACAAGGGTGCATAACCATCTGATGGGAAGGAATGTACATTTCACAACTTACTATTCAGGGCAAAGCAATGAGTTTAGAATTTGACCTGAAACCGTATCTAAAAGTCAACTCAGGATGAACCAGAGACCCAAAAGTAAGGGCTGAAACTATAAAATCAGCAAACAGAATAAAACAGCTTAGAGGAGAAAGAAAGAAATAGAATTAGTAGGCATGCCACAACCATAAATAAAATCAAAAGCGAGGCATGGTGGTGCATGCCTTGGGAGCAGAGGCGGTGGTGGATCCCAGTGAGTTCAAGGCCAGCCTTGACTACATAGCAAGCTCCAAGCAGAATAAAAGGGAAACAAATGATGTGAATGCTGAAAAGAAAGTACATATGGAAGGCAGAGTGCCAACAAGGGGGTGGAGATAGGGAAGAGAAGGCAAGAGGGGCAGCCAGGCAGCAGTGAGCCTTTAGTGGAGCCAGTGGGCATGGGAGGACCCAGCAACCACAAGCCTTTCCAATGTGCAGAAGGAATCAAGCACAGCCATTTACCCTATCAACTAGTAACTAGGTCATATTTTCCCTGGGATTTTGAAGACTCTACGTTTCTTTCTAGTCCTCTCTTTACCACATCAGTAATAAGCCCAGCTAGCTGTATCTTCATTTTTCCATCCCTTAGATCCACTTTAGCCTATCCACTTTTGAAAGTTGTTTGTCATGGACCATTTTGTGCCAGGATGTCCGACAGATGGCAGCAGAGTCCTCAGTTTAACTCCCTTCTCTAAGACAGTATTGGATTCAAGGGGATGCAACCAAGTGCCACTTTCAGTTTTGTTTCTTTCATTTTGGGGACATGAAGCTCAAACTTGATATATAGCAGAGATGATCTTGAAGATTTTGTAGTTTTTTTCTTTGACAATTTTGTACATGTATATACCTAATGTATTGTTTCCCCATATCCTCTACCCTCATATCTCCTACCCTGTCAACTTCTCTACAACTTTTTTTTCATATTGTTTTCATTTTGTTGTCTTCTGCTCCACTGATTTTATCTGAAACTATCTGTGTGACCATGGATTCTGGACTATCCATGGAACCTGGACAATAGTTGCCTTTCTCCCAGAATCCATTGTAGCCAGCTGTTCGACAGCGGTGATAGAGCCCCTTGAGGTCCTTCCCAATCAATGATTGCTTCTTGACAGTCTCAGTCTTTTGCCGACCCTGTGCAGACAGTCATAATTGCTGTGAGATTGTGCTGTGTTGTGTGTAGTGGCTATGTTGTGCCCTGAAAATGGCACTTCACAGTCTTCTCTCTTCCAGCATTGCCTTTCTGTTCCCTTTCCTGATGTTCCTGAGCCTAGAGGGATAGGCACTCAGCCATTGCTTATTCTTAGCACCTTGAGCATAATGTGGATAGATAGAAACTGGGGGATGGGGTGGCAGAGCATCAGGATTGGATTTTTGATCCTCCTGTGTATACCTCCATCTCTAGAGTGTTAGAATTACAGGTGTGCACCTGGTTTATGCCTTGCTGGGGATCTAACCAGGGCTTTTGTGCATGTTAGGTAAGCATTCTACCAACTGAAATAATTTCCATGCCATTTTCAGCTTTGTTAGAACCTTTTCCTTTTCCTTTCCTTTTTCCTTTCCTTTCTCCTTTCCTTTCTCCTTTCCTTTCCCTTTCCTTTCCTTTTTCCTTTCCTTTCTTTCTTTCCTTTCTTCCTTTCCCCTTTCCTTTCCTTTCCTTTCCTTTCCTTTCCTTTCCTTTCCTTTCCTTTCCTTTCCTTTCCTTTCCTTTCCTTTCCGTTCCTTTTCTTTCTTTCTTTCTTTCTTTCTTTCTTTCTTTCTTTCTTTCTTTCTTTCTTTCTTTCTTTCTTTCTTTCTTTCTTTCTTTCTCTTTCTTTTATTTTTTCTTTCTTTTCTTCTATTTTTTTGAAGCAAGATCTCTAAGTAACTCTGGCTGTCTTGAAACTTGCTTTGTAGACCAGGCTGGCGACAAATTCAGAGATCAGTTTGCTTCTGCCTCCTGACTGCTGGAAATAAAGACAGGCACCACCATACCCCCTTTTGTTTTTACGTTTATGTGTGAGTGCATGTATGTGTGTGTACCATGTGTATACCTGGTGCCCTCAGAGGTCAGAAGAGGCTGTCATCTTCTAGAACTGGAGTTAGAAGTAGAGCTGCTATGTGGGTGTTGGGTACAGAGTCCTCTTCAAGAAATACCAAACACGTATAACTGTTAAGCCCCACTTTGATTTTTTTTTTCATATTAAGTCCCCAGAGTACATGGCAGTCTACAGTGTAACTGAACGTGCGTACTCTTACACCAGAAAGACTTTTATCTGTATTTAGATGTCCTGAAGCAGTTGAAAAGTAGTAAATCCATACCCAAACACTTACGTTTTCTGAAAATTGAATTGAGTGAAGTTTTAAATTTCAGAATATTTGTTGATGTATTTTTTGAGGTATTTGGGCTTCCCTTGCACACGCTTGTCAAGTGCACTATCACTATCACTGCAGCCCCAGTGTTGACTTTTAATTCAAGTTTTTGTTAATCTTATGTGCATCTCTGTGTGTGGGGTGTGTGTGCCAAGGCACACATGTGGAGATCAGAGGATAACTTTGTAGAGTTGGTTCTTTGGTTCCACTTTCACCTGAGTGAGTTACAGGTTCAAACTTAGGTTGTCAGGCTTGGCAAGCACCTTTACTCAGCCACCTGGCCTCTCTTCCCCACCAAGTTTTACTTTTCAATCAGTGAAATTGAAGTTTAATTCCTTTCCTGTGCTAACCTCTTCTGGGCAGGACGACTCCAAATGACCATTTGCAGGCTTTGTCGTCCCTATACATCATCTTCCCGTCAGTGACAAAAGAATTGGCAAGTCAGTTTCTTCCAAGTGAACATCCTAGACATCCAGTTGACTGTGTCTAACTTGAGAACAGGAAGAGGTGAAACCTACAGGAGCATCCCCATGTCTTTCGTATCTGCGCCTCTGGAGAGCAAAACCATTGGGAAGTGATTGCTTTGAGTTCCTTGTTTTCATTGTAACCTCTCCTCTGGGCCTTGTGTGTATTGGCACAGTTCATTTGAATTGATGCAGTGAATCATTCTGCTGGCCTGCAGAATTCCCAAAGGAGAATATTCGAATCCATATTCATGAGATGGCTGCTGTATTTGGCAGAGACTAGGGTCATTCCCCTAGGTTGATGTTCAGCTGGCCTAGTTGTGACATACAGATGAGGCAGTAGAATTTAGAATCTAGAATAGGGGTGGGTACTGGTCTTTACAGTTAACACAACAGGGTAGCCGAAGCATATGTGGCTTAAGTTTCCTTTTGAGCCATTGAGGCAAGCTGAGTCAGTTATATGCAGAATGTTCACATAAAATGCTGAAAAGCCAAGGTGAGTGACAATAATTGAAAATGATTTGTTGACTTGGAAGTAGTGAAAAGAGATTTATGTGGCTGTGAGGAGTCATGGCTGATGGAAGCTATTGACATCTGCCTTCATGTCTGAAGAGTATACAAGTGTGCATGCGTACTTTTGAGGGCCTCAGTGTGGTGGGATTGATGATGTTAATGTTTGGGAAACTGGAGGAAAGTCAAGATGCTCATGTGAGGCTATGTTTTCATAAGAACCCGTTCCCCATGCTCAGGTTGACAGTGCATGCCTTTAATCTCAGCACTCAAACAGGCAGATGATCTCTGAGGCTATCCTGGTCTACATAGTGAGTTCCAGGTCAGCCAGGGCTACAACTGTGATACATGGTCTCAAAAAAATTTAAATTAAAAATAAACTAAACCCAGACCTCTGTTTCTTATTTACTGTGTGTGTACAGTAAATGAGTGTCCACACATAGGAGTAGTCAGTATCTTATTTCCTTCCCTTTCTCCTCTCTGTCTCCTTTCCTCCTTTTTCGTCCCTTCCTCCCTCTTTCCTTCCCTTCTTTCCTTTTCATTTAAATCCATTTCTAACTGCCATGTTTTTCCTAGCTCCAAAAGCCCACATGCTTTTGGAACTCAAAACAGCCAATGTGGCCTCGTATCAAGCATTTCCTCAGGCTGTTTTTTCCTCTTCTGTGTCTTGTTCACACTCAGCATTAAGCTTTGAGTTGGAGCATGGTGTCTACCTTTTTCTTCCTCGCCTGCTTCACCCTTTCCACTCTTCCACAGTCACTGTGGCTTGAGGTTTTGTGAAAAGACTTGATGCTTCTCCCCACCTGCTCTCCTAGGTTACAGGTGCTCTGAGCTGTGCAGGACATATGGCTTCTTGTTTTCTAGTCACAGATGATCTGTACTATTAAGCTTTTCTCTAGCTCTGTGGATCCTAGTTTGTATTTCCAGGGAATAGTAGTCAGTGCAACATGTAATGTAAGCACCATGTGGCTGGTTTGCTTTCAATTAAGGTTTCTAAAGCTGAGCTTTCAGTTACTTTTAGTTGCTGCTTAGTAGTTCCTCAAAGTAACCGAAACAAAAAGCACAGGTGAGCATTTGGATGTGTAAGAAATAACCAGCCAGGGCACTTTTTATATTAACAATTGTTAACTTAAACTGCCTTTGAAATATGTCCCCTTAAGCATCACTTTGAGAAGTGACATCACTAGGTCACATGGATAGACATTCTTGATCCTTTCAGGAAGTTCATCTCAACGGGGACCTGGTGACACTGCAGTGGATGTCCCTGCAGAGGGGTCAGGTATTTTCCAAGTGTTGGCACCCCAGGACTGCATTACCAGGGTTTCATGTTGAGCCTTGGCATAACATGGGATGAGGCAGAATGCATACTGGCCCTCAACATGTGAGCTAAGATACTCTTCTGCGTGGCTTGTTTTTCTCCTTGCTGGAAAATTCTCTCCAGATACCGTAACCTTATGTGCCAAGCAGCTCAGAGGACAGCAGGGACTAGCATTTTTGTTCCATTATCAGAAGCCATGCTTATTAAAGGGCAGTCACACAAACCAGGTCAGGCCAGATGACCTGAGGAAGCCTACTTTCCTTTTATTTTTGAGTATTCAGCTATATTTTCTTTTACTTAAATTTGTTCTTGGCTCAGTGCCACTACAGGGAAGGATATGTGTCCTCCTTTTAAGTATCAACCAAAATTTGCCCCTTACCATATGTGCCATACTATTTTGTGATAGGTATATTCAAGAACAGGAACAATATGCAGTACTATCCTGGCATGGCTGTCACAACTATATTGTCACCAATTGATGGGACATTTTAACTCCATTATGACCTGAAGGGACCCGTGCTGAGCATGCAATCTGTCATCATGTGCCCATGACAGTGCTGCATGAAATGTTTGAGTATATAATAACTGCAAGCGTTAACAGGCATGACTATGTTTCATCTTTTCATCTGTGGCTCTCTCTGGCCCACTGTGCTTGCCACACTGTTTTTCAGAAGGCTCTGTTATTCAGTCATGTGGGAGTTTTTTTTCTTTCTTTTTTTTTTTTTTCTTTCTTCCCCTATTTGTGTGTTTCCTTCTTAGCTTCTGCAAAACCCTCTGGTCTGCTGCCTTTTGACTCTTTTTTTTTTCTTTTCTTTATTTTTTTTTTTTTTTTTTGGATGTTACGGTGGTTTGAATGATAGATGTGCCTCTGTATTCTCTGGCATTTGAATATGTGGCCCCAAGTTTGTAGAACTGTTTGTGTGGGGGCAGTGCTTAGGAGGTAGGCTCTTGCTGAAGGAGGTGTGTTGCTGAGGCAGGTTGTGAGAGCTTAAAGACTTACACCATTTTGATTCTGCCCTATGATTGTGGCTTAAGGTTTGAAATTCAAGCTCTAAGCTGTTCCTGCTGCCATGATTTCCCACTGTGATGGTCATGTGTATCCCTCTGGAACCCCGAACCTAAATAAACCCTTCCCTTTATAAATTACTGTGGCCTTGGAATCCTATCACAGCAATAGAAAAGGAAAAAGTTGGTGTCAGGAATCAAGTGTCACAGTGACAGATCTGACCGTGCTGAGGTTTTTGTTTGCTTGTTTGTTTTCTTTGGGGGGGGGGGGATGTGGAAAACTTCGGAGCTTTAGACTAGAAAAGCAGTTGAATAAGCAGTGCTTAATGAGCTTTCCTAGTTGGAACTTGAAAGACAATAGTACTGAGAGCTATGTGGATTGTGGAGATCCAACAAGAAGTTTCCTTTTTCAGAAGGGAACAATGTTAGCAAGTGTATTAAAGACCATTCTTGTGATGCTTTGGCAAAAAATAAAATAAAAGAATTTTTAAAAAGTAGCTGCTTTCCTAAGAATTTGCCTGAGACTAAATTTAAAAAGCAATGGACTAATTTCTTTGGCAGAGGAGATTTCAAGACAGCCTATATTAATTCTATTGTGTAGTTAATAGTAATCCTAGGCAGTGAAGAAGAATAAATATGGCAGAAATAAAAAATGTAGTTTGAGGGGAAGAGAACACCAGGAAACAAGGTTGCAGCCAAGTCTTATGCTGAAAGAGAAATTATAGAGACGTCTGATCCATAGTAAAATAAAGGAAAGGTTGCCCTCAGGGAGAGACCTCATCTAGTTAAACTTCCACCTTATGAAAAGAAAAGGCAGAGGAAATTTTCTGCTCCCAGAAACAATAAACAAAAGTGCAGCAAGTGTGATTCAGTGGGGGCCAGCATTCATCCAAAGCTGACAAATGAACTTAGCAATGTTGTCCATGTGGTACTGGTTTTAGAGTAATGAAGGATACACTAAGAGGTTGTGGAATCTTCCTCTGGATTCAGAGAGCTGCCAAAGCCAGGCATGTAGCAGGGGAATCACTGTATGGAAGCCCTCAAAGGCCATTGTTT